AGTGACTGGGGCAGTTGGTTTTTGCAACATCTGGAGTCCAGGGGGCCATGTGGCCGGAAGTATACCCAGCTGATGCTCATGATGCTCCCCTCCTGCCTCGTCAAATGCGCGCAGTCACTGGGGCAGGTGGTTTTTGCAACATCTGGAGTTTAGGGGGCCAGGTGGCCGAAAGTATACCCAGCTGATGCTCATGATGCTCCCCTCCTGCCTCGTCAAGTGTGCGCAGTCACTGGGGCAGTTGGTTTTGCAACATCTGGAGTCCAGGGGGCCATGTGGCCGGAAGTATACCCAGCTGATGCTCATGATGCCCCCCTCCTGCCTCGTCAAATGTGCGCAGTCACCGGGGCAGTTGGTTTTTGCGACATCTGGAGTCCAGGGGGCCACGTGGCCGGAAGTATACCCAGCTGATGCTCATGATGCTCCCCTCCTGCCTCGTCAAATGCGCGCAGTCACTGCAGCAGTTGGTTTGTTGCAACATCTGGAGTCCAGGGGGCCATGTGGCCGGAAGTATGCTCCCCTCCTGCCTCGTCAAATGCGCGCAGTCACTGGGGCAGTTGGTCTTTGCAACATCTGGAGTCCAGGGGGCCATGTGGCCGGAAGTATACCAAGCTGATGCTCATGATGCTCCCCTCCTGCCTCGTCAAATGTGCGCAGTCACTGGGGCAGTTGGTTTTTGCAACATCTGGAGTCGAGGGGACCATGTGGCCGGAAGTATACCCAGCTGATGCTCATGATGCTCCCCTCCTGCCTCGTCAAATGTGCGCAATGACTGGGGCAGTTGGTTTTTGCAACGTCTGGAGTCCAGGGGGCCATGTGGCCGGAAGTATACCCAGCTGATGCTCATGATGCTCCCCTCCTGCCTCGTCAAATGCGCGCAGTCACTGGGGCAGTTGGTTTTTGCAACATCTGGAGTCCAGGGGGCCATGTGGCCGGAAGTATACCCAGCTGATGCTCATGATGCTCCCCTCCTGCCTCGTCAAATGCGCGCAGTCACTGGGGCAATTGGTTTTTGCAACATCTGGAGTCCAGGGGGCCATGTGGCCGGAAGTATACCCAGCTGATGCTCATGATGCTCCCCTCCTGCCTGGTCAAATGCGCAGTCGCTGGGGCAGTTGGTTTTTGCAACATCGGGAGTCCAGGGGGTATACCCAGCTGATGCTCATGATGCCCCCTCCTGCCTCGTCAAATGTGCGCAGTCACTGGGGCAGTTGGTTTTTGCAACATCTGGAGTCGAGGGGACCATGCGGCCGGAAGTATACCCAGCTATACCCAGCTGATGCTCATGATGCTTCCCTCCTGCCTCGTCAAATGTGCCCAGTGACTGGGGCAGTTGGTTTTTGCAACATCTGGAGTGCAGGGGGCCATGTGGCCGGAAGTATACCCAGCTGATGCTCATGATGCTCCCCTCCTGCCTCGTCAAATGCGCGCAGTCACTGGGGCAGTTGGTTTTTGCAACACCTGGAGTCCAGGGGGCCATGTGGCCGGAAGTATACCCAGCTGATGCTCATGATGCTCCCCTCCTGCCTCGTCAAATGTGCACAGTGACTGGGGCAGTTGGTTTTTGCAACATCTGGAGTCCAGGGGGCCATGTGGCCGGAAGTATACCCACCTTTGATGCTCATGATGCTCCCCTCCTGCCTCGTCAAATGCGCGCAGTCACTGGGGCAGTTGGTTTTTGCAACATCTGGAGTCCAGGGGGCCATGTGGCCGGAAGTATACCCAGCTGATGCTCATGATGCTCCCCTCCTGCCTCGTCAAATGCGCGCAGTCACTGGGGCAGTTGGTTTTTGCAACATCTGGAGTCCAGGGGGCCATGTGACCGAAAGTATACCCAGCTGATGCTCATGATGCTCCCCTCCTGCCTCGTCAAATGCGCGCAGTCACTGGGGCAGTTGGTTTTTGCAACATCTGGAGTCCAGGGGGCCATGTGGCCGGAAGTAGACCCAGCTGATGCTCATGATGCTCCCCTCCTGCCTCGTCAAATGTGCGCAGTCACTGGGGCAGTTGGTTTTTGCAACATCTGGAGTCCAGGGGGACCATGTGGCCGGAAGTATACCCAGCTGATGCTCATGATGCTCCCCTCCTGCCTCGTCAAATGCGCGCAGTCACTGGGGCAGTTGGTTTTTGCAACATCTGGAGTCCAGGGGGCCATGTGGCCGGAAGTAGACCCAGCTGATGCTCATGATGCTCCCCTCCTGCCTCGTCAAATGTGCGCAGTCACTGGGGCAGTTGGGTTTTGCAACATCTGGAGTCCAGGGGGACCA